GGTAGAGGTTTTGGTCACGTGTTGTCTCACTCGGCGATGCACGCCGACGTTTGGGATGGAGAAGACCAGTGGTGGAGCTATCAAAAATATGTTGGGCGGGCCGGATAGTACATACAGTGCTACCAAATTAAAAATTAATGAATTATTGTGGGCCGAACTTCATGTAAAACCTTATTTTGCTCCAGCCAAGGGCGGTCCATGGCCCTTTCAGCCTTGTTGAAGCTTCGCCGGTGGAGAAGACTACAATGGCGGCGCAAATAGCAAAACGAGGCAAAAACCCTAACTCGATCTTAATGTATATTTGGTCGTGTCCGGTAAGTCATATATGCATGGGTCTTCAAGATTTATAGATATTGCACCTCTATCTCTTGCCGTCTATAAACAGGCCTTTGAGATTGAGGAATTTTTTAGATGCACATGGGCCAAGAACATAAATTCTAACATTGGTGTCTTTTGATTTAGTCATTGCACGCAGCCATTCGTGCGTACGGGATCACGACCTGGGTCCTTATCCCTTGTGTCCCCTGTGTCTTCTGCTCTCCTTGGGTCCTTATCTCGTCATTCGTGTGTACGGGATCACGATCCAACCCTGAATTCTGTACTCTGTACTCGTTTTTCCCTCCTATCAATGCAATGATACGCCATCTTAGCGTATTCAACAAAAAAATTGCACGCAACGATTTAAATGCGCCTTTGAATCTGAATAGACGATGAAGAGAAGTTTTTTCGAACGATGAAGAGAAGTAAAGTGAAAAGGAAATTAATTAAGGTAGACCCTTTTATAAACCAAAAGGGATAGAGTAGTGTGCTTTACCTGCACATGGTGATAGATGTATTAATCATGCGTGATAGATGTATTGATCATACGTGCTACACTAGAATTGCAATCCGCATATTAATACCGACAAGGGCCAATCAGCGGGAGTGGACCGGTATCTTGGACTTCTCTGTCGGCGGAGCTACAAAATCTTGTGCTGCGTCAATGCAGACATGGGTGCACGGCGGCGTGTCAAGCAAGTGGCAGTGCATGCACACAGTAACTACGTACGCCTCATCACTCTCAGCCACGATAGATCCCAGATTTGCACTGCCGCCAGACTTTCGGAGTAACGGAGATAAACCAACTTTTCAACACTTATTAAGATCACTAAATTTGCTCCACCATCCTGCACACCAGGCCTGATCAAATACTTTTAACTCGCCTGCAGATCGTCGTCTGCAAATGACCTGGTGTCGCATTTTTTTAACACATTTTTTAGTCGCCTCCTCGATGGCCCTCCACTGCAAAATCCAACTGTAAATCCAGCATTGATGGCGTCCGGTTTTTAATTGTTCCGCGTCCATTTTTTATCCTGGCCGCATGGACCCACCCTGTCAGTGTTCGGTGACCACCTTGCCTGCCTTTCACACGGAGTATAAACCCCTCTCTGTTACTACGCCGCGCCGCGCCACGGCTTCCGCTGCACGCCATTACAGAAGCGCCCCTCCCTCGCCAAGTGTCCCCCTCCTCCGGCCAATGTGACTTGCTGTCGAAGCTGCGG